AATTATTTAAAATTAAGAAAATTAGTATGAGATATTAAAATTCTCACAAAACTCCTCACTAAAAAAATCATTTTTCTTATATAATATATAGATAGATAGATATTGAAACAAACTTTACTTTTTCTTCTTCTCTCAATGTGGAATTATAAAATAAATCATAAACTAATTAGAGTTTTATTTTTATATGGTTAAATGAAAGTTAACCAATGGAATTTTTTTTAATTGTTTGAAATTAATAAAATCAGTATGAGAAATGACTATTAAACTGGCGAATCAGTCAAACTCAAAATGGTTCAGCCTAATTGGTTAGGTCAAATGGCCAACCAACTTATACAAAAATAAATTAATTAAAACTTTTAAAATGTTATTTTAATTTTAAAATTTAAATTCTCTTGAATTGAAATTTACACAATACTACACTATTAAGATTCACTTTATATAAGTGAAACAGCTCACTTTTTTTTTTCTTTTTCCGAGTGGGATTATAAAATAAAAGTTAACAATTATTTGAACAGAAAGTTTATTTATTATCAAGCAATCTCAGACATTCAATCTTTAATCAGATCAACCTTTAGTTTATTTCGAATCAAACAAATCTAATCAATATATTTAGATAAAACCACTAAAATCATGGTTAAACTAACAAATCAATCAAATCAAAAATGATTTAGCCTAATCAGCTATAACATAATTAATTAATTAAAACTTTTAAAATTTAAACTATATTGAATTGAAGCATGGATAATACTACAATATTAAATGGGATGGGAGTATAAGATTCACTTTATATGAGTAAAATAACTCATTTTTTCCCTTCTTTTTCCAATGTGAGATTATCAAATAAAAGCTAATAAATGGAGATTTCTTAATTGTTTAAAATTAAGAAAGTTAGTATGAGATATTAAAACTCTCAAAGGCTCATCACTAAATGGGATGGGAGTATAAGATTCTCTTATGAGTAAAACAACTCATTTTTTTCATTTTTTCCCGATGTGGTATTATCAATAAAAGTTGGCTAATGAAGATTTTCTTAATTATTTAAAATTAAGAAAATTAAGAAAATTAGTATGAGATATTGAAGTTCTCACAAGGCTCCTCACTAAAAATATCATTTTTTTTTATTTTTATTTTTTATATATAGACAGATAGATAGATAGATAAATAGATAGAGCCAATAGAATTATTTATATATATTTTTAAAATCACAAAAATTAACCATTGTGGAATGAAATTTTGGAGTTCTCATAAGTTTTCTCACTAGAAACTCTTTTTTCCTCACTAAAAACACCATTTTCTTTATATAATATATAAATAGGGCCCATAGAATTATTTATATATATTTTTAAAATCAAAAAATTAACCATTGTGGAATGAAATTTTGGAGTTCTCATAAGTTTTCTCACTAGAAACTCTTTTTTCCTCACTAAAAACACCATTTTCTTTATATAATATATAAATAGAGCCCATAGAATTATTTATATATATTTTTAAAATCACAAAAATTAACAATTATGGAATGAGATTTTGGAGCTCTCACAAGCTTTCTCACTAGAAACTTTCTTTTCCTTATATAATATATAGATAGATAGATGAGGATCAAACCTCACATTCTCAAATCAAGAAAATCCCAAAAAATTATAATAAAAATAAATAAATAAATAAACGAACATAACCTCCTATTAGGGGTGAACAACGGATATACCGATCCGCGTCCAACCGACTGAACTGAATCGATCTGCTATATTTTGGATGGATGCATGATGATGAGCGGACGGTTGTGGATTGATTTTTTTCAATCCGCCTAGTTTTGAACAGATGGCGGATTTGAGGTTCCTATAGCTGCAACCGAGCTGCCAAACTGTGAACACTCATAGGAAGTTGTAAGATTTTGTGTTATCAATTTGTTTAGATATTTTGTTTGTGTTTTTAATTGAAAAAGAGTTTAAATATTCTGTTGAAAAAGACTTTTCAAGTTGAATATATTTTTTGAATTGAAAAGAATAAATGTATTGTTTATGTATATTTTTTTTATTTTTAAATTTAACTCTAAAAATAATGAATAAAGAAGATGATATATGCTGGCTAGTTTTTGTTTTCAAAAATAAATATAAATGTAATAATATAGAGGCACACAATTTCTACTCCTGCTCCGTTCATGGTTTTGGTGGTTTGAATTGTTTTTATATTTTAAGAATCACAAATTGTAATATTCTAAAATTTGAAACTTTCTTTCTTTGGATGAGACAAACAGTGATTGTAATACTTTTTAAGTCATTGACTATAATTTTTTTTTTGTTGAGAAAGTGCATAAGTTGAATTATGTTGAAAATTTATAAAATTTTAAACCGTCAAAGCGATTCACATCCATCCGTCAATCCGCTCAATTCACATATACTGAATTAACGAATAGATGCGAATTAATTTTTTAATCTACTAATTTAATGAACAGATGACAAATTAAAAATTCCGTGATCACAACCGATCCGCTCCACCCCTCCCTCTATCTAGGGACACGGGGCCCCTGATGTGTATTCTCCCTGCTGTGCCTGCTATGTGCCTCAAAACGGCACCGTTTTGCCTACTTTTTTTTTTTTTAATTTATATGTAAGGGTTTCGTTCTTTAGTAGGACACCCTTACGAAGCTACCGTCGTTTCTAACACTCCAAGGAAAAGACTCTGTTGTGTTGGAGTAAAAAATTAGTTTTATTTTTTTTATTTTGTTTTTTATACATTTTTGTCTTCTCTCAAACATATTGGATAGTATTCTCTGTCTTTGCTTCACCATCCTTCTGCCGGATTTACAGACCATTATTGTTCAACAAACTGGTATGTATATCTATATCTATATCTATTATATGTATATATGTTTTATATTTTATTTTGTATAGTGTGTTAGTGGATTCAACAAGTATAATGGTTTGATTTGTTTTCTGTAAATAGATTGAGAAACACAATTGTATATTATAAGAAAATTTCTTTGTTATGTAATTTGTTTTGTACATGTTATGTATTTTTGTATAAATATTATATAATTTTTTTAAGGAGTTACGATAATTTGTAATTCATAATTTTTTTTATAGCAATGTTATGCATTTTTGTGGAAATATTATACATTTTTATAACAATGTTATGTATTTTTGTAATAATATTATGCATTTTATGGTCTTAAAAAAGTTTCAACAAAAAAATCTATACCATACTACATAATGCAAATTTAATTTTTTAATCATAAATTGTTATAACTCAATAAAAAATGACATAACATTTGTGACAAAAATACGAAACATATATCAAAAATTTATATAATAAGAGGGCATATGATTCACATCTTTAAGTGTGTCTGCCAAAAGATTCCCTATATTATATAATATACTAATTCTAATATAATTTTGCAATTGTATATTATAAATAATATAGAGGCACACAATTTCTACTTCTACTCCGTCATGGTTTTAGTGGTTTGAATTGTTTTTATATTTTAAGAACTATTGATTGTAATACTTTATGTGGATGAGGCATGCTGTGATTATAATATGTGGATGAGACATGCAGTGACTATAATATTGTAAAGTTTCAAACTTTCTTTCTTTGGATGAGACATGCAGTGATTGTAATACTTTTTAAGTCATTGACTATAATTTTTTTTTTTTTGAGAAAGTGCACAGGTTGAATTATGCTGAAAATTTATAAAATTTTAAACCGTTAAAGCGATTCACATCCATTCGTCAATCCGCTCAATTCATATATACTGAATTAACGGATAGATGCGAATTAATTTTTTTAATCTACTAATTTAATGAACAGATGACAAATTAAAAATTCTGTGATCACAACCGATCCGCTCCACCCCTCCCTCTATCTAGGGACACGGGGCCCCTGCTGTGTATTCTCCCTGCCGTGCCTGCTATGTGCCTCAAAACGGCACCGTTTTGCCTACTTTTTTTTTTTTTAATTTATTTTTTTTGTAATTTATATGTAAGGGTTTCGCTCTTTAGTAGGACACCCTTACGAAGCTACTGTCGTTTCTAACACTCCAAGGAAAAGACTCTGCTATGTTGGAGTAGGAAAATTAGTTTTATTTTTTTTATTTTGTTTTTTATACATTTTTGTCTTCTCTCAAACAGATTGGATAGTGTTCTCTGTCTTTGCTTCACCATCCTTCTGCTGGATTTACAGACCATTATTGTTCAACAAACTGGTATGTATATCTATATCTATATCTATATCTATTATATGTATATATGTTTTATATTTTATTTTGTATAGTGTGTTAGTGGATTCAACAAGTATAATGGTTTGATTTGTTTTCTGTAAATAGATTGAGAAACACAATTGTATATTATAAGAAAATTTCTTTGTTATGTAATTTTTTTTGTACATGTTATGTATTTTTGTATAAATATTATATAATTTTTTTAAGGAGTTACGATAATTTGTAATTCATAATTTTTTTTATAGCAATGTTATGCATTTTCGTGGAAATATTATACATTTTTATAACAATGTTATGTATTTTTGTAATAATATTATGCATTTTATGGTCTTAAAAAAGTTTCAACAAAAAAATCTATACCATACTACATAATGCAAATTTAATTTTTTAATCATAAATTGTCATAACTCAATAAAAAATGACATAACATTTGTGACAAAAATACGAAACATATATCAAAAATTTATATAATAAGAGGGCATATGATTCACATCTTTAAGTGTGTCTGCCAAAAGATTCCCTATATTATATAATATACTAATTCTAATATAATTTTGCAATTGTATATTATAATCTACTTAGACAAAATAAATTTCCAATATTACTATACAAATTACACATCTTTTTTTCCTCTCCCCTATCCTTTTAATTAATTTACATTATTAATTGATTTATTAGGTTTCATTGAATTGTTTAATTACTCAGCATTTAAAATTAATTAATAATTTTTTTGCTCAGATTCTTGTTTTGTTTAATTTTTTTTTTCTTCATATTTGTTAGTGTTGAAATGGAGGATGGTATAATGGATGATGGTGGACTTGAGGGATGCATCGAAGAAATGAGAGAGTTGGCCAAGGATAAATCACCATATCTTGGTATGGAGTTTCCATCGGAAGAAGCTGCATATGAGTTTTATAATGAATACGGAAGAATTGTGGGGTTTAGTATTAGAAGAGATTATTGTAACAAAAGCAAGAAAGATGGTGTTATGACTAGTAGAAAGTTTGTTTGTTGTAAGGAGGGAGAGAGGGAAAAAGATAAACAGTACACGATGATAAAAAATCCTCGAAGTGAGACAAGAACAAATTGTAATGCATTCATGCATATATCTTTTAAGCGAGACTTGTCGAAGTGGACTGTGTCAAAGTTTGATAGCAACCACAACCACCCTTTGCATCTTCCTCAATGTACTCATTTGATGCCATCTCAGAGAAAGGTATGTGATGCTCAGGGTATAAATATTGATATAGCTGATGAGACTGGAATATCTCTTAAGGCTTCGCATGATCTTATTAGTGCTATAGCAGGAGGGAAGGAATTTGTAGGTTCACACGGGAGGATCAGAAAACCTACTTACGTGCAAAAAGATAGCGAAACTTGCAGTATGGTGAAGCAGGGAGTTTGTTAAGATATTTCCAGCAGCAAGTAGCAGAAAATCCATATTTTTACTATGCCATTCAGTTGGATGTAGATGAGATGATTACTGATATTTTTTGGGCTGATCATCAGATGATAACAGATTATGGGCTTTTCGGTGATGTGGTGTCATTCAACACAACTTTTAGAACAAATAAGGAGTACCATCCACTTGCTTTATTTTCTGGCTTTAACCACTTTAGAATGACAGTGATTTTTGGTGCAACATTATTGTATGATGAAGCTACAGAGTCATTTGAATGGTTATTTGAAACTTTTTTGGATACAATGTCAAGAAAAAAGCCTATTAGTTTTTTCACAGACCAAGATCAAGCGATGGCTAAGGCAATTTCACAAATCATGCCTGAGGTTTTTCATGGGTTGTGCACTTTTCACCTAATGCAAAATGCTTTAAAGCATTTAGGTTACTTGTTCAAGAGTGGTTCAAAATTTAGTAGCGATTTAAAAGCTTGCATTTATGACTACGAGAATGAGCATGAATTAATTGAAACTTGGAATTCTTTGATTGATAAATACAACTTGCAAGAGAATGAGTGGATGAAAAGAACTTGGAGAAAAAGAGAGCAATGGGTGCATGTGTATATAAAGTGGGTATTTACTGGAGGAATGCGAAGCACACAACTTAGTGAAAGTCTAAATGGAACATTAAGGAGATATTTAAAAGGTGATCATAACATTGTTCAATTCTTTACTCACTTCAATCGGATTGTTGTAGATAAGCGGTATGAGGAAATTTCTGCAATATATGATTCTAGACAAAAGTTGCCAAGAATGAAATAAAAAAAGTCTCCCATTTTAATCCAGGTTGCGAGTTTGTACATCCCTCCTATCTTTGATTTATTTCATTATGAGTTGGATACATCCCTTTGTTGTCAAGTGAAGCAATTCCATGAGTTAGAAGGAGAAGTTAAGTGCGTGATTGGCTTGTATGGTAATGATGAAGAGTACATTGTTGAGGGTAGGGTGGAAGTTACTGGGCTAAGAGGAGAAAAAGCTGTCGAGAAATACATTGTACTTGTAAGAAATTTGAGAACTTCGGAATTTTATGTAGTCATGCAATCAAAGCACTTGATAGAACATGCAATCAAATCACTTGATAGAATGAATGCTATGGAAATTCTCGAAATGTATATATTAGGCCAATGGAGATTGGATGCAAAAGATTGTGAAGTTGAAAAGAAAAATGTCATAGTGGATGAGAATGATCCAAAGTTGTTCATATTAGCACGTTATAGAGATCTTTGTCCAAGAATGGTGAAACTAGCAACTCAAGCATCTATGCACAAACCTTCCTATCAATTGGTTGATGAAGGGATTAAGGAATTGTGTGTAAAAGTAAATAATATGATGAAGGGAGTTGGAAATTTTGGTACCAAAGAATTAGATGCGGATGACCCCAACTTTGCACAAGTTAAGGGCATAAAGAAGAAAGATGTTGGACACAAAGGGAGGGGTAGATTGAAACCTTGGCATGAGATGATGAATAAGAAGACAAAAGTTATTTCACAACCAACCCGCCTTAGTAAGGTATTACTTACGTACTTTTGAAATTTCAAATGACATGCATTTATTTTTATAAATTATGTAAAGTATTGATAACTTTTTGAATTTCTTTAGACTATTGGTCAATCAAGCAACACTACAAATGTTCAAAATTCATCCTCAAGCCAACAACAGGTTAGCTATTGTTTTATGTTATTTATTTATTATTATTATTATTATTTTGTAAATTGTGTAATGTATTGATAAATTTAACAACTTATGTAGATTATTGGTCAATCAAGCAATATCACAAATGTTCAAAATTCATCTTTAAGTCAACCACAGGTTAGCTCTTGTTTTATGTTATTTGGTTTTTTTTAAGACTACATTGTACTAGTGTATTTACTTTTCACGATGTTTTATGGAGTAAGATGTTGGGAGTCTCTATTGGCCACAATTGATAAATTATGGTATAATCTTCTCACACGTGATACTAATTCATACTCACCAAGGTATCCACAATCACAACCTCTGCCTTTTGAAGCATCACATAGTCCACAAAGTTTTCAAGTAAGTAATATATATATATATATATATGTTTTTAATGTAATTTAGTCCATAAAATTTATTCTAATGAATTTTCTTTCTTTTCTTTTCTTTTTTTTTTATAGGGAATATCACTTAATCCGGTGGGGCACAATCTAATGGAGACCGAATTTAGAAATGAGAGTTCTTTTGATTTTTCTATTTATTCCCAACCGCCTCCATATATAAGCAAAATGAGATTTTTAGTGACAAGCCTTATGATTAATATCTTATACTGATTTTTTTAATTTTAAACAATTAAAAAAAATTTAATTGACTAATTTCTATTTAACTTTTATTTGATAAAATATAAAAAATTAAATTAATTATTATTATTTTTATTAAATAATATATTATTTTACCTCGTGTATAAGACGAGTGCCATGTTAATAATAATTTAACGTCAAATGAAAATAAATATAATATTATCTGCGAAGGGGGGTGAGATATTTGCCGCACTTATGGATGCCCTTGGAACGAGTACCAACCAACCTTACCGGATAAGAACGGCTAGAGAGAGAGAAAAACACATAATTAAATAATAAATTAAATAAAATAAAGTATAAATTACAAATATACTATTTAAAATATAGATTGTCAAAAAGATATTTACTAATAAGTGTTTTTGTGGTATCGGTTAAAAAGACAATTTTTGTATAATACAATATACTTTTTACTAATTTCAATATATTTTTAATATTTTTAGATATTTTTTGCACACTTTTCAACATTAAATAATGCCTAAGGAAAACTTGTTAGCATTTACTTTTACGGGTAAAATTATAAATTGTTTTTTTAGAATATTTTTATTTAATGATATTAACAGATAAAATGAAATTCTTAATTACTCTCTTATATAATAATAATTACATTAGTTATTAATTGAAATATAATATCATTAAAAATTCATAATTAACTTGATGATTCATTAATAAAATGAATAATTTGTTTATAAAATTAGAAATTGAAGAGAGAAAATTTATTGCAAATCAAATAATCAAAGCTAAATCACTTTTCTTCTTAAACTTTTAGACAATCAATCTTTTTAACTTATTTAAATTATTTTGTTTAAAACTATAAACATAAAAATAAATTAATAAAGACTTTTTAAATAAAAAAAAATTATAATCACTTTCATAATTTTTAAAATTATAAAAATAATTTATATTTTTAAGTAAATTTTAAAAGATGTATTGCATAATTTATCTAAAATAAAAAAGTGAGAGAGAGAGAGAGGGGGAGGGGGAGAGGCTGCTGCTGGGTTAGAGAAAAGATACGGATCATGAAAAATTTATGATTCTTAGATTACTTGATAGGTGAGGTTTTATTTTAAGTGAATCCAAGGTCATAATTTTTATGATCATTTTTATGAAGTTTTTTCAGATACTAGCATTACTCTTGGGGTTAAGTCAAAAAGTAGCAAACCTTCCATGGGGCAATGAATAATTTTTTCTCTTGGGAGGGAGGTAGCGACTTGTGCGGGTCCTAATTGAAGTCATCCGTGTGTGTTTCCATGTGCCTGTGTGTGACAATTATGCCCTTAGTTTTGTTTGTGTTGGGTCAAGTTTGGTTGTCCTTTTGGGAGATTTCCAAAGTTTGGACCACGTGGCTGATTGGAACAGGGCACCTAAGAAAAGATGGTAGAGAAAAACTCTATGCACCGCGTTTGAACCACTAGATAGAGGACGCGGGCGCCCTTCTGTGTATTTCCTGCCGTGTCTGTGTGTTCCTCAAAATGGACCGTTTTGTCCACTTTTTTTTTTTTTTTTTTTTCAATTTATATGTAATGGTTTCGTTCTCTTTGTTGCCGCCGTTTCTACACTCCAAAGCAAGAGTGAAAAGTTAGTTTTATTTATTTTGTTTTTACACTCCAACAAAAGTTCTATTGTGGATGAGAGTAGAAAAAGTTTATCTATTTATTTATTTATTTTATATATGTAAGAGTCTCTTTAATTCTTGTTTTATTATATTAAAAAATTAATCTATCAAATTAAATTATATTTTTTTAAAAGATATAATTTTATAATTAAAATCAAACAAATAATACATGTTTTCTTTTTTAAAATTGCTTAAATCATCCAAAGTAAAATTGAAAGGGAAAAAAATTGTAATTAAAAATCAATTTATCAAACCATAAGCAAAAAAAATTGATAAAAGTTATCCACAAAAAAAAAAAAAAAAAAAACTTAAGGCCAAAATATATTCAATTCACATCCAACATCTGCATAAAAAAATAATAATAATAAAAAAAATTCTAAGGCATTCAAACTTCAAAATCTCCGTCAAACATCCAAAAAACTTATAGTCAATTCACATCAACATCTATATAAAAAAAATAATAATTCTGAGGCATAAAACTTCAAATCTCCTGTCAAATATCCAAAAATCTTTTTCAACCACTCTAAATCATTCCAAACAAAATTCTAAAAATCTTCAATTTCAATTCTCAAAACAAAAACTACAAAGTGGATCCCCATGTCAATTTTGTGGAGACGGA